CGTTGGCGACGAGTATCGAATTAGATGGAACGATGAGCTGTATGAGCTATACCGCGACATTGACATAGTTAAGCGCATAAAAATTCAACGGCTACGCTGTGCGAATGGAAGAATGTGCTCCGGCTAGAAAGGTATTTGATTCGATACCCGCAGGTGGAAAACGCGGTAGAGGACGTCCGCATCTTCGGTGGAAGGACCAGGTGACCAACGATTTGGGGGCGCTCGGTACTACCGACTGGCGTCAGAAGGCAACTAATCGGGCTGACTGGCGGAGGCTACTCGACGCGGCCAAGGACGACACACGTCTGTAATGGCCAACTAAGTAAGTAAGTAATTATTATTATTAATAATTAACCAAAATATATGACAGTAGTATTCAAGTCTGGTTATCTTCTTTTTTTTAGAGAAGTCTAGGGTACAGCCTATTGTGTTTTGTTTTTGAGTGCCACTGACGCACCCATGCGACATTCATGTCCACATTTGATCTTAGAGCCATATTCAAAAGTAAACTGTCCAATGCTGTTGTTTTGATTATAAACCAGAAATTTTTCTTATTATGCATCGCTAAAGATTTTTCTGTTTGTTGAACTTTGGATTATAATGTTTATAAGATCGGTAAGTGATCAAAGTTTTAATTAAGTAGCACTTTCATATTTTTAGAGTTGATATCTTTAACAAATAGAAAATCGAGCAAGTCTGGAATTTTTGTCGGGTCATACCACACACCAGCCTAATTGACGGAATGTGTTGCCAAGGCATTTAAAATATTGATGAAATTATAAATGTTGATATAATTAATGGACCCTGAATTCTTATCATTGTTTGTGTGGTTGATATTTAAAGTTCTTAGATGTTGTAAATTATTGTTGACCTTATTTGTAAAGTGAGGAACATTTATTCCAGTTTTTTCCTGCGCTCTCGTCTACAAATTACTGATCAATCTCTGTCAGATTCGTATCTAGAAATAAGAGCCAAATACCTTAATGAATGGCAACATCGGTGGTATCATTCTCAAAAAATCAAGATGGACGCAATAGCTAATTAAAAATAACTGGAGGAACTAGAGACTTACGGTTCAGGCCGGCAAGTAATCCATACTGCCAGTTTAGTTCAGATAAAACTGAGAGTCCCGACCATATAATTAGAGACTGTTTAATATTCGTAGATACTACACAAAATCTAAAGATACTAATCGGGGAAGTCAGTCTTTCTTTTATGGTAAAGCAGATGTTGGCAAGTACTGAAGACTAGAGCCTTTACAAGTGCATAATGTCTAAAACAATAAACATTGTTAAAGCAGACGAAATACTTTGTACACAATTAGAGTAAAAGCACGCTGTGTGTCCTTCCAACCTGTCCTGTGAAGGAATACCTTAACTGGTCATACTGCATGGATCTTCAAAAATGTGGGGTATTTTTAGTCTCTAGGCATGTATGATGTATGCAAATGTTGCGAGCTATTTGTATCTTTAGAAGATGTTTTCCTTCAGGTTCTATAAAGAAAGAGGTAGTTATATAGAGACGCGTTTTCTATGTGGAGGTTCAATTTTAACTACGTATTTAAAATTATATTGAGTACATATTTCTATTATTTGAGGTTTAATGTTATAAAGCACATTACTATAGGTAGTTTAATTGGTTCTGCTTTATTTAGATTTGTTCGTTTATACAAAGGTAATTTTTTTTATTTATAAAAGTAGTGGTTGAACCTATATCCTCTAAGAATTTTAATTTATATTGCCCTTTAGTAATTTCAACAATCATCAAATCGGACTTGAGACTGTCGATGGAAAATTTTTTTATTTTACAATATAATCAATTTCTATTGATTCGGATTGATATCTTTTACTATGTTAACTCGTAATTTCTACTGAAGATTTTTCTGATAGCGCCATATTCTTGTTTTGCTTCACTTCCATCGACTTAATTATATTTTGAAGGTCCTTATGAATTTTAACTGGTCATTGCTTTTATATGGCATAGGCTGCTGTCGAACTTCTCACCTTTTCATTGGTGAACTCTTCACCAAAGACAAAATAACTAAAGAAGAAGATAATTCACGTAGTGCACCAAATATTTACAAGAGTTTTGTGAATTTAGGAGAATAATTCGCATAATAATGGTTAAGTTACCAAAATTTTCGAAAATTTTCTGAATTTAGAGATTTGCATAATAATGCAATATTAGTTATTTAGAGATTAAACTTTGTGTGTGGGCTTGATGAAGGCTTTTTGTTTTATAAAATTTATACAAAATAAAAAAATTCAGAAAATAATTGTGTTGAATAAATCAAATTTTATTTTATTTATTAAACAATTACTAAAACCGTATTTAGAATCATTAGAAGATCTGAATTAAAAGGTAAGCTGGGATGTCAGTAACATCCCAACACGTTTGATCATTTGTATCAATAAGTTTACTATTGGTATTAAATGATAGTAAGGACGTACACAATCAACGTGACCACATTACAAAACTTCCAAGATTGGCTTCTTTGACAAAGTCAAAAATATCTTTTTCATGTAAAGCTTTTTGTACTACATTATTTATCGGTAGCTCAGTGAAATGAACTACCCAACTAAAGGCAAGTTTACATTTATGTACACTTTTTAACTTTGGCTGCCAAAATGGATCAAGTTGTGTTACGTTTTCAATATACATATATATAAACAAATAATATTGAACACAAACAAAATTATGCAAACGTCAAAAATTGCCAAACAATATTGCCAAGTCAATGAAAACAAATTCAATTACTTTTTTGGAAACAGCCACTATAATAAAATTTTATCAAATAAATGTTTACAATATTTAAAAAAAGCAATAAAAATTTTAGAAGTTACAAATATTTACAAAATTTATTGCAAAAAGTGGTGACTTTTCGGTTAAAAGTTTTCTAATAACGATGATTAATTTTTTTAATAAAAATAAAACAAAACGTTTTAATAAAATTATTTTTTATTGCCACTTTCTGTATTCAAATATTCATTTAAATTCACGTATGAAAATTACTGACATTACATTACTGACACAACTTAGAATTTCACTCATTTAGAACGCAACTTAGCCTAACTCGCACACGACCTTAATATATCTATTTTTTCGTATATATTTTACGTATGAGTAACAGTTTTTTTATTAAAACATTTTCTTCTTAAGCTTAATAAAATGCTGAAAATGTTAGAAGCATTACATTAAACAGAATCTAATAGTACGTTTCCACTGGCTGCGATTGCTAAGTAAATTTCATTAACCATATAAAGAGTTTCCGTGTTTTTAAATTTACTAAAAAAAATATTGTAAGCAAAATCAGACCAAAAATGTCGAATGCAACATTGCAAATTATAGAAATGATAGAAATTTGACATATTTGATGAATCTAATGAGGGAAGTAATGAATCAAATTACATAATAGTAAATAGTAATAGTAATATTAGTAATAGTAATACAAATTATCTAGTAAATCTAGTGTCTAAACAAACTTTATGTTCATAAAGAACGTCTTATGAAATATCAATTGACTGTCACAGGATTCTTCTCAACTAAAATTATTTCTATCAAAAAATACTATAGATATACTATTACTCTCAGAAACACACTTTACTAAAAAAAAAGTTTTTTTCAATTCCATTCTATCTGGATGAAATTCTAAAGAAAAAGCTCCGCAATATTAATTAAAAGAACATATAAACAGCCGGATCAATTCTTATATCTGCCATATATAGGCCATCGAAATATAATGTAAGGGAAGAAACCTACACAAAACATTTTTTAAATTTAGGGAATCGATGGTGATAACAATGCGAAACATATATATATTCTGGGGATCCCGACTAACCACAACAAATATATATTTCCATCTTACATTAAACATAAACAAGTACAAAGCGACAACAAATAATCGCAACTGGTCACACTAAACATAAAACTAAACCAACATGTGATCACCCAAGATATGAGTGACAGCGAACGTCAAACACGAAATGACTGGAATCAGTTTATGATGAGAAAAGGAAAACGTTGGCGTCGGTTCCGTTAAGCAGTTCGCGATTATATTTTCTATTAACTTAAAAAACTTTGTATACGTTTATTAATACATGATCCATTAAAGTTAAACTAAATCTATCAAATTGTTTTTGACTTCTAGAAGAAAAGAATAAATTGCAACGACCCCTGGACAATGGCTACGTCAGCACTATTAGCGAAAAAAACGTGTCGTACCAGCAGTGAAACTCTTGGAACTTAAAGTTTTTTCTGCGAGAAAGCCCACATACTGGTCATTAGATACAGCAAAAATTCCTGATCTTATTGATTTCTGTGTTACCAAAGGTTTCCTTTATAAACATGTAAAGTGCAAGACCAGCTTAGAGTCGGTCTTGACGAAAAAACCGTCTGAAAAAGCTAAATTATTCGCATGTCATCTAAACAACGTTTATACTCTACAAGATGTAAAAGCAATTCCGCTATAGATGTAGTGTTTCAATTTAAATAAAGTTAATAAATAAGAAATTTAACAAACCAAAAAATGGAATTGAAATGGAAACTTGCCAAAATAAATATAATACTAAAACTTGTTGAAAAATACAGACCACTTTTAAGTGAAAAGAATACTGCTCAACAGCGTTTTTGGACATATCTCAAACATTTGATCGCGTATGGCAGCAATAACTTGTTGGTTCAATAAACTTCTGTCACAAAACTATTACATGTATGTCTACAACGAAAAAAAATTTCTTCATTATATAATATTAAAGCTGGAGTAGCACTAGACATTGCACTCAGTCTAATTCTTTATCTACTTATCACATACGATTTACCAAAGACAGTAGGAAGTTTAATTGGCACATTTGCAGAACACACAGCAATCCTGGAGAGTGCTAGTGATTCCTCTGAAGCCGCTTCTAAACTTCAAGTTCATGAAGTTTTGATTATATGTCAAGATGGTAAAAGCTTTGGCGAATGAAAACAAATGAAACAAAAACTACTCATGTCACATTTACAATGAGAAGATACACTTGCTCCGAAATTAAAATTAATAATACAATTATCCCGGGATCAAATAGCGCAAAATAATGGGCTTGCATTTTGATACATGTCTGACATGGAAAACGTATATTTTAAACAAAAGAAAATTCCTAGGGAAACAATATCGGAAAATGTTTTGGCTACTGAGTAAGATTTCCAATATCTTTAAAAAATAAGCTTATTTTATACTAAAGTGCGCTTAAACCCGTACGGACCTACGGCATTTACCTATGGGGCACAACCTCAATATTCAACAACAAAATTCTTCAAAGATTCTTCTGCTTTTTCTCCAGTATAAAACTCTAAAAGAAATGTTAATTCCGATGAAGTAAAAAACGTAGCCAGAAAATATCATGAACAGATTAATCCTAACAATCTGGGTTCGAATTTGATGTCGCCATCGAAAGTTTGTTCAAAGCTGAAAAGAAAAACACCGTTCCAGATCTTATAATAAGATTTTAATTTAAAAGTAGAGAGAGAAGTACCTAAATTGTAAATTACCATGCCTGAAATATATTTTATTATTATTTGACAGAATACATATATATTTTAAAAATAAAACACGAAAAAAATGAAAGGATGAAAGATTGTGTGAAAAATATAATGATATATAAAAATATATGATCAAAGAGAAAAAATCTCTATAGTTTGTTTGTATTGTAGTAACATTAAAATTTACAAAAAATATTTACGATATAAAAACGGTAAACTACAAATTGTTTACTTACTAGAAAAGTTTCTAGTGGCCAACATTGTAGTAAGAATAGCTCCTTTGAGTTTACGACGAGCATTGAATTTCTTGAGGCAATCAACAGTTTCTTGACGATGCACCACCGATGCGACCCTTTCTCTTTGCTGTTAACAAAAAAAAAATTAACAATCAATTCATTCTTGAACACAATTATTAATAATTATGAATACATACACAAATCCAGGGATGCTTAAGTGCCTCCGCCGCAGTTATTCTCTTATTTGGATTAACAGTTAACATTTGATTTATAAGATTTTTGGCCTCTGGTGTGACAGTGTCCCATTCAGGCGATGGATACTAAAATAAATACAGTTAGACTTATATATTTATTTAAAAAAATAATTGACACACATCATAAGCGCCAGCTTTTATCTGTGAGTATAATCGATGCTGGTCTTCATCCCAAAAAGGTGGATATCCAACAAGTAAAATATACAGAATAACACCTACAAAAAGAAACAGTTGATATAGTAATTAAAAACGTAGCATACATTTTACGTCTTTACCACATGCCCATATATCTACAGATTTCCCATATGGCTCTTTTTTCAAAACTTCTGGTGACAGATAACCTGGTGTTCCAGCAAATCCAAACCATGCTTGATGATCTCCCTGAACTTCAATGGCTAAACCAAAGTCAGCGAGTTTCACAGCTGCACCCTTTGCCTTACTTGCTAAGAGTAAATTCTCAGGTTTCAGATCACGATGCACCACACCATTTTGGTGGCAGTGATTAACTGATTCCAATATTTGTTGAATACAATGTGATGCATCCGCTTCTGAATAGAATTCGCGAGCAACAATATCTTCAAATAGCTCACCACCAGTAACACTGCAATTGCAATGGTATTTGGAATTTGGAATTTGTATATGCTTTGAATTTTTAATAGTTTATCGATTTAAATTATTATTCGTCTTTTTTTTAAGCTTTTTATATATACAGAATATACAGAATAAACTTAGAGGTGACAATTAGAATAAAACCATAAATTTTGATTCGGCAGCAAGCAATTAATTTAATGAAATTCTGGTATCCGTTAGGACTCCCAAAAAAAAAAAACAATAAAAAAAGAAGAGGAGACCCATAGCAAATGTGAAGCGTAATTAAAGCAGTGAAGATCTCTTATTTAAATTGTTATGGAGAAATTCCGACAACTAAAAAATAAAAATACCGAGGCTAACAAGTATAGAAATCAATAATTAATTTAAATATTTAAACGGATGAACAAGTTAAAATTGTTATGTTGACAAATTGCCTTTGTCAAATTCGTTAAATTCGTATTTAAAGCAATTAGCTCATTGCTCTCTTCTTTAAAGAAATCTGTACAAATTCATGATATTTTCAAAAATCAACAACACGTTTTCTATTTCAGTTTTTGGTGGGTATGCAATTTAATTAAGAGTTAAAAACTATATTAAAAAAAATATCTTTTCTAATTGTCACATATAGGTTTATTATGTATATATATTCTTTTCTTTATGGTTGCTGGGTGCTCCTGTACTCAGATATAGAGGAAATTATTGTATACAGGTAAAAGGATGAAGTATGAATCTCAATAAACAGTAGTCAAGTCATTTTATATGTAATATTATCCAAGTCCTTAGTAATATATTGTTTAATATTCATTGCTAACAATTAATTTTTTTAATAAATATATCGAAATTTTAATTACTTACAGATCGAAAACCAAGTAATGATAATTTTCTTCTTGTATGCTATCATGGAGTCGTACTGAAATAGAAAAAGCAGACAGTTATATAGAACTATAATAAGGAACATAAATTGTAACGAAACACATTAATTTTAAGTAATATATATAAAATAATATATGTGTTAGGTGTAGTAAAAAGAAATCCATTATTTTTCCAATAGATGGCTTTATCTGGTATCTGTACCCCGAGTTAAATAAGTCCATTCGGGCTACGCCAAATGGAGTGAGAAAGCTAGGATTTCGTACTAAAAAACTTGTGACGAATTTACATGAACTTCATGGACCGAAAACAGTAGTAGTCGAACTGCGGTGACCCGGCTGAAATGGTGGTCAAGGCAGAACTGACGGTCAGGAAGGTTTCACTGTGTGTTTGGAGGGATTGGCAGGGAATCATCTACTATGACCTGCTCTCCTACGGCAAAAGTCTTAATTCGAAACTGTACACGTACTGTCAACAATTTAATTGTCTGAAGGAAGCAATCGCCCAGAAACTGCCATCTTTGTCCAATAGGAGAGGAATTGTGTTCCATCAGGACAACACTTCAACCAAGGTTGAAGTTGGTTGGGAACTTCTTATGCAGCTATCTTATAGTCCAGACCTAGCACCAAATGATTACCATCTATTTCTATTCATGGCGAACATTTTTTTCTGATGAAAAATTCGCTTGAAGAGAAGTTTGTGAACACCAACTGTCTCAAATTTTCATCAAAAGAGATGAGGATTTCTATGAGAAAGGTATAATGAAATTACCTTCAAAATGGCAACAAGTTATCGAATAAAACGATATTTATTTGGCCTAAATCGGACTATTCTAACTATGGTAAATAAATCTTCAATTTCATGCAAAAATAATGGATTTCTTTTCACTACATTTATTATTATTATATTTTTATTAATCCAAGACCTTATTAGATAATTATACTTAATAAATAGTATAGAGTGAACATAAAAGGTAAAGTGTCTGATTACATTTAATTTGGTAAATGCCAAAAAAGAAGGGAGGAACCTTTTCAGGTGAAAAAATAAAGAAGCAGAAAGACGTGATTACGAAGAGCTTCAGAAGCTGTGCAATAGGTATATGGCTAGAAAATTCTATCAAAAATCAAAAGCCTAACAAATGGTTATAAACCCGGAGTAATTTTTCTGCAAAGATCAAAATGGCAATATGGTGATAGATATCCAAAGCATGCTTAACATTTAGAGGGATTACTTTTCGGACCTACTATATCGCGGTAAAGGTGATGTGACTGCAAGCGAAGATGATCCCGAATTTACATTCGTTGATAATGAAATATTCGTCCCGCCTCTCGATAATAATAAAGTTAAAACAGCTATAATGCTGGTGGAGAAGAGCTATTAAAATGCATGCCACAACTAATTCGCAACATATGGTCGAATTTAAGTGTGCTTTGTCCAATTCACAAAAAAGGTGATCATGCAAACTGTGCTAACTATTGTGGTATCAGTTTTTTAAATATTGTATATAAGGTTCTGTCAAATGTACTATATGAAAGATTAAAGCCAGCTTATGACACTACGACCAGAAACAGTCTGTATACCGCTATGTTTGATATCCCAGCAAAACTTACTCGGCTATATAAAATGATGTTAATTAACACCACCAACTCCATTAGGGTCGGGAGGAATCTCCAAGCCGATTGGCACCAAACGAGGTTTCAGATAAAGTAATTTCTTGTTGGAAACGATAATTCGAATAATCCAAAAGTGTAATGCCGCTTGCATATGCTGATGATATTGATATCATTGGCTTGAATACCTGAATGACGTCAGCTTAGAAATTCAACAAAAAATCACACTGCCAATAGGTGTTATTTTGAGCTAAGTAAACAATTGAGAAATAAAGCTCTCTCTTGACAACCGAAAATTACGCTCTAGAAGTCTCTTATCATAATCGTCCTGCTGTATGGTGCAGAAGCTTGGACAATCATCAACTGTGATGAGAAGACGTTAGGACCATTTGAAAGATAAATTCTTCGGAAGATTTATAGTCCCTTATGCGTTGGTAACGAGTATCGAATTAGATGGAACGATGACCTGTATTAGCTGTGCCGTGACATTGACATAGCTAAGCGCATAAAAATTCAGCGGCTTCGCTACCATTTGATCAAAAAAGAACGAGAAGTTAAAAAAAAAACCCAAAATTTTAATTTTTATTATTCTCTTTATTATCGCCTACAAAGGACTCTACTCCTGCGGCAATACATGCATGCCAACACTTGATCCAATTTTCCATACAATTTTTATAGGCCGCCAAAGGTATGGCCTTCAGTTTACACAGCGAATTCTCTTTTATGGCCTTTATGGTCTCAAAACGCGTCTTTTGTCCTCGCAATGGCAATTTGAGTCGGGGGAAGAGGAAAAAGTCACACGGAACCATATCTGGAGGGTACGGTGCTTGGTTGATGATATTGGTGTATTGGTGGAGTTTTTGGCCAAAAACTGCGACACTACCAACGCTGTGTGAGCCGGTGCGTTATCGTGGTGTAAAATCCATGAGTTTTCCTTCCATAAATTTGGCTTCTTTTTGCGAATGGCCTCACGCAAACAACGCATAACGGCAAATTAATACTCCTTATTCACCGTTTGACCGTCCGTAAGCAATTCGTGGTGCACGACACCACGAATATCGAAAAAAACAGTCAGCATAACCTTGATTTTGGACCGACTTTGACATTCTCTTTTCGGTTTCGGCCGCATGTGGCAGAACTGACCTTTTCTATTCCCATTTTTAAACAACGTGCACTTTTAAGCTGTACACCACTTTTGAAATATCAATGATCATTTTATGCGTAAAAATCACCAATCGACAATAATGCACCACAAAATCTTTTGAATTTGCGCAAAAGTAGTCTTTCTAAAATAATGTTAAAAAAGATTATTAACCATTTATTTTTTTTAGCCAATTGAAATGAATAAGAGCACAAGTATTATAAGCAGTCAACACCCGGTGGACAGTTTAGTTTATGTTTTGTGTATGACTTTAAATAACTTCCTTCCTTCTAGAGATAAGCTTCAGTTGGTGTTTGATAGCCGTTCAAAGCAGACAACCTCGTGAATTTTTACGGAAATGGAAAAAAGTGAGTTTCGTGTGCTGATTAAACACTACTTTTTACGCAAAAAATCCATCACTGAAACTAAGGAAAGACTTGATAAATACTACGGGAACTCGACACCATCAATTTCAATGGTTAAGGAGTGGTTTACAGAGTTCCGTTGTGGTCGTACCAGCACTAGTGACACCGAACGTTCAGGTCGCCCAAAAGAAGTGATCTCGCCGGAAATCGTCGATAAAATCCATGAAATGATATTGGATGATCGGAGAATGAAAGTATGTAAGTTGGTTCATGCTGTAGGTATCTCAACTGAACGGGAACATCATATTTTACACGAATATTTGGACATGAAAAAACTCTCCGCGAGATGGGTGCCGCGATTACACACACTCGACCATAAGCGCAATCGTGTGACCACTTCAAAAGAGTGTTTAGCGATGTTCAGCCGTAATCCGAACGAATTTTTGCGCTGTTTTGTTACTGTGGACAAAACATGGATCCATCACAACACGCCAGAGACCAAGGAACAATCGAAACAGTGGGTTGCTAGGGGTGAACGTGGTCCAAAGAAGGCCAAACAGAGTCTGTCAGCCCAGAGTTTTTTGGGATTTTTGGTTTAAAATTTTTAATACTTAGTTGCAATGTTTAAGCAACAAAAATATGCAACCACACGCGATGAATTTTAAAATTTTGTTGTCTATTCTAAGCCAAAAACCACACTACAATAGATGCCAATACGTGTTCACATATACAATCATGTACAAAACTATGCACCTTTATTTAAAATAACATTTTTAAATATATAGAAGAAAAAGTGATATATGTGTGTTCTTTTATTCACTAGAAAATTTTATTATTACAAGACCTAACATACTAATAGATTGCTATTAGAGGTTTAGGCATAGATATATTATGCGGTCGTAATAGTTATTCTCTTTTATTTTAGATCCATATTTCGAAAAAGTTTCTTTGTGCTATTAAGTCAAAAATAATCATTCAAATTTTCAAACTTTGTTAAGTGTTGATTTATTGCAAAACTGCTAAAGTCATAATTCTTAAATGATATATAGGTGTAAACGATCCTATACCATATATCAGTTCCGTTTTCACCAATTATGTAAAAAGTGTTTGAAAAACTCCTAATCAAAAAGTTCAACGCAATAGTAAATAGAGGAAATTAAAACAATTCCCTCCAATTTGTTTTATGAATTGTCACACAGGTGTGACATGATTCATAGCCTAAAAGACACTCTTTTTTATTAAAATTGTTCTATCAAAGAAAAATTTTAATCGGTGGACAACAAGATGGCATCCCGGAACCATTACTGTAATTAATTTAAACTTGCAATTTAATTTTCATTCACAGCAAAGTTGCAAAACCGCAACCGTAGCTTTTGGCACGACACCTCTGTAATTTGGAAAAACATTGAAAAGATCTACCAAAAAACATCTTTTAACAATTTTTAACAAAGTTTGGACTAAGAAATGCCGTTTAAAACACAACAGTAGTAAATATGTACATGTAGAATTTATCAGTACAACATTTCCCATTGTACATAGACAGTTTAAATATATTCTATGCAAATCCCACAAAATATATTGGTATGACACTGAACATGAAATTACGTTGTAAGGAACACATCAAAATTAAAAAACAAAATGGAAGATTTGAATTAAAAAATTGTGCGGACTTGTGACAAACTACTCATCTCTTAACAGCTCATCATTCTATATGGTGTGGCGGTGCTGTCAGACTAATCAGACTAACTAAAATATAATTCAAAGATTTCAAAATAAACTACTTAAGCCAAACAAAAGACAGATACTGTTTTGATCTTAATAATGAAAGGTTCCGAAATTTCATCATATTATTAGAAAGGCTTTCAAAGAACAACCAGACATGGGATATCATTAACTTACCCAGCTGTGCAAGTCAACTAACCGATTCTCATATTTGCCTTTGAAGTAGAATTTATAATGATACATTCAAAACTTTCCATTTGCTAAAAAATTCTTGTTTATAAATAAATTCTAAAACCCTTGGTTTGGTTTATGATAAACTTGGTTTATTGTATCCAATTATGGGACTCAGCCAAATTTAATATTGCGATGATTCAACGTTTTCAGTAAAAAGTTTTTTGTTTAATAAGACAACCTACAGTATATATCTAAGACACTTCTCCGTAAACTTCATTTGGACACACTAGTAGAAAAAGTAGAGATGTATCGCATCATATGCACATCGTCTTCAGTCCGAATCGAACTCCATCACACCCAAGGAGCTGATTTCAGCCAAAAAATGTTAGCCCAATAACTTAATAATTTTACGATCATTTCAAAGCAATAAAATTAAATAGGCCAAAAGAGAATGAATTGGCCAATTTTTTTTTTTAACATAATTTTATAAATTCATAAGTATGATTTCATACGATTAAAGCATATGTTTGAACCACTGATATACATAGAGGTTTCTAAATAAAAGCTAATAAAAGCTTATATGTGTAAAGTATCATATACATACGTAATATAAAACAATTGTATAATTTGATCTTAAAGACTAGTTGCTATAATATATAATATATAAAAAAATTATCTATTGAATTTTAGTTTTTACCTATATTTGGATGATGCAATTTTCGACAAATCCTGGCTTCTCTTTCTAATTTCTGAAAATCTGATAGATAAATTAATTTTTTTTTTTTAAAGATCAATACATTATTTTACCTCGCGCTGTTAATTTTTTAGTATTTATTATTTTTGCTGCAAACTCAAAACCTGTTGACTTTTGAACACATCTTTTTACTATCGAGAAAGCTCCCCTGTAATTTAAATATTAGTTTAGTAAAATCATAACAAAGCAAATGATTACAATGACATAATTTGTAAC